CGAACAACGGTATTAGAAGTCTTTTCCACCACTAATTTACTACAGACTGCTAAAACTTCCTTCTCTAATTCTTCGTCATTGCATTGACTGGTGAGCCATTTCTTTGCACGTTCATATTCAGCTTTGTAATGAACTTCATGTGTGGAAGCCGTAGTCTTGAGATATGCGAGTACAGTCGCGCATTCAATGATTTTTACATTTGTCATCTTCTTGAACTTTTCGCTGACGTCATATGACTTGATGGTGGTCAGCAATGATTCCGATGAAGATACATCGATACGTTTGCTAACTTCTTCGCTTAATTCCAATGCGCCTTCTTTTGTTTGTTTTGAGATAATAGCCTTTGCCGTTTCAACCGTGGTCTTTGATTGAATGCGTAATAAGGCAGCACGTTTCTTTTTGACGACAACCTTTTGTGTAGCTTTTTCCACGCATAGTTTATAGGAAGCATCCCATAATTCTTTTTCTAATTTGGCATCGTTGATCTGACTGCTTATCCATTTCTTTGAGGCTTCATATTTAACCTTCCATTGGTCTTCATGTTGAGAGGCTGAAAGTTTAAGGTAATGAAGTTGAATTGCGGTTTCCCACACGTTGGTATTCGTCTTGATCGTTTCTTTGAGTTTATTAGACTTGACATATGATTCACAAGTAGAAACAAAATCTTTATTGGAAATGTTAAGTTTCTTTGAAATGGTTTGATTCCATTCGAAATGATTCGTTTTGAAAGTGGATAAGAAAGATTTTGTCTTTTCGATTGTTGTTGATGTTTGAATGGAAGACCAAGCGGAACGTTGTTGTTTTCGGATAACTTTTTGAGTCGCCCTTTCTACTACCAATCTTTTGCTAATGGCCAAGATTTGTTCTTCTTTCTCACTATCATTGATTTGTTCTTTAAGGTATTTCCTTGCCTTTTCATATTGAACCTTCCAGTGGGACTCATGTTGATTAGCACAAGTCTGCAAATAACTGATCGTCAAAGCGGTCGAAACAATTTCGGTCTTGGTCGTTAATTTCTTGATTGACTCGTTGGTGGTATAAGATTGAATCAATTTAACCGAGGACTCATCGGAAATCTCAAGTTTCTTGGAAACAACCTCACTTAATTTGAAGTATCCCTCCGTGTGTTGATAAGAAATGATTGTCTTGGTCTTTTCAACTGTAGTAGATGTTTGAACGGAAACAAGAGCTTCACGTTCTTGCTCAACAGTGTAGGTGCTTTTTCTAACAACTTCCGTTACGGTGGACAAAGGTTTTTCGACTGGTACTGGAACTGGTATGATCTTTGTTTCGCTTTTTTTCTTTGTTTCCACAACTGTGAGTGGTTTCGAAAAGCAAATAATATAAATTTTTTAGTTTTTATGTGAAAATGATAAAGTGTTCGAACGTTTAAAAACAAATGCTTTCAAACCTGGTTCTGGGAATGCCTTCATGTCCGCTTCGATCGTTTCAGCCTTCACTTTGTAGGTATTTATGACGAATTTCTTTGCAATATCAGTTAATTCGTGCTCAATTTCATCATTCTTAACTTGTTGTTTTAACCATGCAGATGACTTATCATATGATTTTATCCAATCAGTACGATGTTCGAAGGCCACCAATCGAAGGTAATAAAGAGATATGGCAGTTGTAATGATATTTTTATCAAGTTTTGAAGTACGTTCAGATACGAAGTGACTTTGAATAGAAGTTTCGAAGGACTTG